GGGCAAAGCAGAGCCAAGCATCGGAGCGCGTGGGCAGCGGACAGCCCTGTCCGCTGCCCACGTGTTCCGCCGCTTTGCTTCCTCTCCCTGGTCTGCTGGAGACCAGGGAGAGGATCGGCCCCGTTCGTAACTGCGGATCCGACATAAGTCGGATCCGCGTAACTCGGGGACTGCCTGTACACCCACAGACTTTCCTTGTGATGCTCAGTTAATAAAGTGTATCCAATGTTTTTCTTTCTGAAACTGACAGTACATCCACAGCCTTTCCTTGTGATGATCAGTTAATAAAGTGTAGTAAGTAATGCACCTATTTTTGGAGACAGGCTGAGGTTTGCCTCCTGCGTGTGTCCATTCCCACACAAGCTTAACTCTAGTTGAAGTCCCATTGATCATGAAAAGGAGATGTTTTCTAGTTTGCACAAGCTAAACAAAAAGCATGTTTATTTCCTCCCTCTTGGTTTCAAGCTATTTTTAAAGTGATACCAACAATATTTGTCAGAAAGACCATATTTACATTTAAAGAAAAATTGTTTTCATATACAGATATTTTGAATTGGACAAGCTCTTCAGATAGATCCAGCAATGCACTTCTTGAGCCACATACTAAATCTCAAATTTATAATTTACTTAAGAATGTCCCCAGGCTCCACAGTATACTTTGGGCAACGAAAGGGAAAGTCACTCATTATCATCACCTGAACTGTGTGTACCAGGTTCAGCACATTCCATACCTATCTCAAAACCAGAGATTTCCCAAAAGCCATAAATTTTTCTGAAAACAATGATGGAAGGCAGTAAGAATATTTACTGTAACTGTTTTGAATGTCAAGTTTTCCACCCAGATGCACATGCAGAACCCCCACCAAAGTAAGCAAGTTTTATGCATGCATCCATGGGACTTTGGCTCTTAAAACATAATTCACTCTACATTAAAACAAGATCTGCAAATCATTTACTCACTCGGATCCTGAGAAACCTGAGTTACAAGTTACATTGCTGGATCACATGAAAACACATTGATCATAAACAACATTTGTAAGAGCCCTAAAACTTTCCTTTCACTTCCTTATAGCTTTCTTATAATAGCTTTTTGCTTGAATTTTTGAAGCTTAGTCTCAACCCAGGAATGAAAACTTTGGGAAAGAGAGTCAACAAGTTTAGATTACCTTAATTTTTGTCTGTCCTTAGGAATTACAATTTAGGAACCTTACGTACAACCATTTCTACGTTTTCCCCTTTATCCATATGAGTAAGGTAAACATGAGTGTAAGCATTTGCAGGATCACACCTTTGTCTTTTTTTGGTGGTTTTTGTTTTGACAAATATGACTTATGTTCCATAGGTGAGTTTAGTTATTCATTAGTAACTAGATGAGAACATG